TAGCTGATTTTGGAAATTTCATCTGGCTCTGCATTGCTCTCCTATAGGAGACCATGGAGTATTTTGCATGTGCAGAGTGAGTGTAGAGGATGACTTCAGAACACTAGGACCAGGAAAACAAGAGCATGAACGAGAGTTTGTTTATGGATGGTAAGATGGGGGTGGAGAAGTATTAAATATCTCTTACCCTCTTCATATATGACTGTTTAGATAGATTAGTACAGCACTGCTGCAAACAGTTTTTAAAAATAATTTGAACCATATGATCCAGCCATTCCACTCCTACTTATACCCAAGAGAAATGAAAACACGTGCACACAAAAACTTGTGCATGAACGTTCGTGGAAGCATTATTCATAATACTCAAAGAGTGAAGACAACCCAAATGTTCATCCTCTGATGAATGGATAAATAAAATGTGGTATATCCATACAATGGAATATTATTTTGCAATAAAAAGGAATGATGTATTGATACATGCTACAACATGGATGAACCTTGAAAATATTATGCAAAGTGAGAGGAGAGACACAAAGACCACATATTATATGACTCCATTTATATGAAATGTCCAGAATATACAAATGAATAAAGAAAGTAGATTAGTGTTTGTTTAGGAATAGAGGGAGAAAGAAGGAAATGGGGGTCGACTGTTGATGGTTATGGGGGGGAGAGAAGTGACAAAAATGTTCTAAATAAATTGTGATGGTTGCACAACCCTGTGAATATACTAAAAGCCATTGAATTGTAATTTTAATGGAGGAATGTAAAGCTACATGACTATGCCAATTGTAAAGTAAGGCAAATCATAACTAAAGCCAAAATGTTTCATTATTTTNATTGTCAGAGCTAGGGCTCAGACCCTTCAAACCCATTGTACAGACTGGGTCACCAGACCCCACACACACCAGGCTGGGTCCCCAACCCCTCACATGCAGGTCCACGCTAGGTAATTGGGAAAGATCCCAGGAGTCATTGGCAGATGACATGAGCTCAGTCCTCAGCAGCAGCCGTGGCGACCTCTCAGAGGGTCCTGGGGACACTGGCAGCAACAGCCTCTAGCAGCAGTAGTGGCCTCCCTGTGGCCTCCCCCGACCCCCGCGGGCATCCTGGGGGTGGGAGGGGGTCACTGTGGATCAGAGCCACTCGTCCTTTATACTTAAGTCCATAACCCAGGACACCTGGGTGCACATGCGCAATTACATTAGACAATAACCAAGGAACACCTGGGCACACGTGCATATTTACATCAAATGCTCGGCAAGATTCTGACCATCTGAGGGGCTCTGGCCATTTTCCTATATTTTCCCAACAGGGAATTTTATAGTATGAATTGTATCTCAATAAAGCTATTAAAAAAAATCATTCAACCTGCCAACATTCTAATTAGTCCATAAAGTTTACCTTGGCTCGATTCACTT